TCTCCTCTCAAGTAACCGGTTTCGTTCCCGTGTCTCCTGTTAAGTAACTGTTAATAAATTGTTTTGTTTTATGAAGAAAGCCTGAGTCATGTTTTGCCTGGGACCCTCAGTCCAAAAACCACGACAGACCATTTTTAGGTGATAAAACCAGGAAATTCATAGGATGTTAGTTTACTCGTCTTCATGATATGGAGATAAAAATTTCACAAGCAACAACTTTTTTTTAGGGTAGAGAGCCTACTGTATGTACCATCGTATGAGGCAGCAAGAACGAGATGAATGCCATTTAACATGTGTAATTGCCAAGAGATGAAGGAATTTGCTGTGAATTGTATTATTGCTTAAAAAAAACTCGGTGTTGCTCAGTGTGCTCAGTGACTATTACTAATGCCATCTTTCTAGATAACTTAGGAAAATCTCCTTCAAATCGAACTCGGAAGTTCTCTTGATTCTTATTACCTAGCTCATGCTTTTTCCAGACGATCTGTGTATAAGAAAAGGCAGTTCAGTTGTTGGAAATCGATCATCTAATGTAGTGTCTGATTCTACTAGCGTTCATTAAATTAATCCAAACCATAGGTGGACCTCCTTGTATGCTGTTGAAATATGAAAACAAAGCTGCTCTTTGAGTCCTGAACTTAGCTGTGGATTACATATGCGTTAGCCTACAAATGACAACATTTTCCTTTGTGGGGTGTTTTGATTGTTTTTTTCCTAGACCAATTTTCTTATTAGTTTGCCTAGTTGTGAAGGATAACTGAAACTATGCTGGCATGAAATGATAGTAGTCTTTATCATCCTGAGTTTATACGTTGCTGCCATGTTCCTATCTTTGCCCTTGTCTGTGGGCACTCTCGCACTCTCGTTTTTTCATCCTGATATTCACTTGGTCCTTTGGTGATCTAGTTTGGAAACTGGATCAACAGAAAACTGTCCTTACAAGCAAGTAAGTAACTTCTGTTTGTTACATTCCTGAAACAGGTTTACTCCAGGTTAGGACAAGTTTCAGTGGTGGTGTAAGGGAACAGGAGTTCTGTCTGGGAGAGTGGAGGGGGCAAGATGGGACATGGCAGTGCCAGCTTGATTGGTTTGAACACTTACAGACCTGTGTCCTAAATCAAGAAGACTTAACAGAGTTTTTGGAGGACCTCAGAAAGACTTCTGTCGCAAGATGTTCGGTCTCATAGATGGAACAGGTAAAGTATTTGGGGGATGATCTATTCCAAAACACCTGTTTCTGAAAAGCCAGCATCTCTGCTAGTTGGTGATACTGTGCTTATGCCTGTCTCTTCAGCGCCAAAGATACTGCCCTTCTGTCTTTACATTATGTGGATTTCTTAAGTCCCTGCAGGCATCCCCGCCTTGATGATGTTAACTGTTACTTGGGAAAGTTGTTTTCATGTGTAGCACTCAGCTGCTCCAAGAGACTGAATGCCCACTGGAAATCGTCTGCTGTGAGCATGCCTGCTATCACTTTCGGGATGAATGTTTTCATTGGCATCATATTCCTCAGACAAATCGAGTTAGGTCAGGAGGGAAGGATTGAGAAATGGGATAATGCTGGTTACAGAAGGAGGGAATTGAATGATCATCTCAATAGATAGAGTAGTTGACCATGGTGTTTTATTGTATTTGACTGCTGTAACTTGGTGTTGAGTGACAAGGTACAACTAAGATGAGCTGTATCTTCTTTAAAAACAGTGTTTATGAGTGTACAGGATGATGAAAAAGTCTTTGTTACTCTACAGGGGCAAGCAATTGAATTCCAAGGCAATCGGGTGGTTCTGCAAACTCTTGTGAGTTCATAGTGAGAAAGTCCATGAAAGGCCACTGAGTTTTGCACTTCATTGTACCTCAGTTTTCCTTAAAACAAATTTTGACATTTCAATATGAGGATTGATTTATAATCTCCTGCCCAGATGGAGTAATTCTGAAGGGATGTTCGTTTTGAAATGTTTAGTTTTAGCCTGTGGCTTATACCTTGATGTAGAGTTGCATCTAGATTGCTGCTGCCCCCTCAATTCGTATGATACATCTCATTTAAATATTTCCTTATATTGCTTCCACTGTTTTGCATTTATTCTTGGAGCACTTAAAAATGCATCCTGTACAATTAATGTTCGTGTATTTGAATTTAGACTGCATTGTGAAATTCAAGCAATCCTGTTTGAAACTTTATCTGATATTAGCTTTCCTGCACAAAATCCTACTGCTCTGGTTGTGGTTTACCATCAGCAGCCACTTTCTTTTTGCAGGGAGGTGTGTGTGCGTGCACGTGTGCGCATGTTGCACTTTGTTCAGCCCTTGTCCTTGGAATGTTGCATTTAACAGTTCCTGGTTTTGAAGCAGCAAATTTACCAGGTATCACATCTCTGGCTTATAATTCCCGAGGCCATGTCACGTCAGAACAGCCTGCGCTGTTTGTGCCTTCCAGCAGAGCTGGAATTCAAAGCTATCTTGTTTTGACTTCCCCAAGAATAAAAGTTTCCAAATGTACAAGTGGAAAATGATGGCATTATTCTCTGTTCATATGAAATACAGATGGATTTTCAGCATCTACTGAAGTAGTCAATGGGCCAACAGATCTCTAAAGATTTAATTGCTTGATTATTTTGTTCTGTTTAGTTCTTCACTGGCTTGAAAATGGTCTGAAATCGTGCATGAAGTAATTATTGTTTCAGTTAATTACCACTAAATGCGGGGGAAAATTAATAGGCTCTCTTTTTTTTTTGAATCTGTTTATCCATCTAGAAAATTATTTCTTTAGATTCACTTTCAGATTTCAGGTATATATTACTTCCAAAATGCACCTCCGCTTTTATTCGTTACTGGCAAAAGAAGGCTTTGCTTACTAGTTGTATTTCAAAGGCAGCAATCTTACTTAGTGGTTGAATTTAGTATATCAGGCAAAGCTTATGGGAGAACGAACCTCACTTTGATATAGCTGGGTATTTTCACCTAGTATATGATGGAAAGCCTGTGATAGCGTTCTCAGATCGCAAAACAAAGATGTCTCCATGAAGAAGAGCAGAAGGATTTATGTTCTTCCATTTCCGAAAGCTCTACGAGAAGAAACTGGCACTTTATTTATTTACTGAATTAAAATATTTTCTTTGATATTGTAGCGTGAAAATGAAAGAAGTGATTGCTCAAATTTTTTATGTATTAGATCAGTCCTGTGCATGTTTTCTACTTTTGCTGCTTTGACAAAGTGGTTTTGTTATTTAAAATAAAGATTTTAGTATTATCCATTATTAAATAGTTGCAAGAATAGCTGTAAGGTACTGATTCTGTTTTGTTTTTCACCGAGGAGATAACAAATAGATGAGATATGTTCTTTTCAGGAGTATCTCCTAATATTTGGAATGCATTTTTAAATCAACTTACCTAACCAATAGTAGTAGTGAAAGATATTTTCAGGAGATGCAAAGTCTTATGTTTTTGTGTGATTGAATTAATGAAAGCTTTACCTTTAATGTGTAAAGTGTTTGAGGTTGGAGAAATATACTAGATGCCTCTTAGAAGTCTTACTAAAAATGCACCAGACACACGAAATCTTTACTTGTAATTTAGTGAATAAAGTCTTTTTGTATCTTACAAGTTTAATTTAATTCCTTCTTCAGATAGTACATTTTGTGAAATGGTATTTTTTTTTTTTCATTTATTTGTAGGTTCCTTCAGAGAAATCGGAATCCTTTGCATCTATGTTGAGACGCTCTCCTTTAATTCAGATGGGACCTGCCAAAGATAAAATTGCCATTGGTCGAATATTCCATGTTGTAGAAGACGATCTTTATATAGATTTTGGTGGCAAGTTTCACTGTGTATGCAAAAGACCAGAAGTAGATGGAAAGTAAGTAATAAACTTTACAGTAAGTGATTAATGTGTGAATGACATATTGAAATGCTCAGCGAATGGGGCTTGACCATCTTCTGGACCGAGCTTGTATAGTTGGTGTGAATTTTGTGGTTTAAACTATAGAAGTTAACGTACTGCGTGGAAGGAAAGTATGATCACAAACAGATGTGTGTAGCTTAGACATCGCTGTCTTGAATGCAGATTCCTTTGCAAGTTTGCGTTATTGCTGCTTACGCTATGCCAGGTTACGATGACCAAAGGACATTACTGGGTGTTTTGTCCCTGCAGAAAGGGGAAATCGTTATCATCCAAGTTCTCAAAACACGCACTGTTTATTGAAATACCTGAGAGTTTTGTGAATGTGGAACTTTAGCCTCATGTAAAGTTAGGCAGGAACTATCTATGCTAAATATTTATATGTGAGGTGATGTACTGGGGAATTTACACTTTATTTGTGATAATACTGTTCATAATAGATGATCAGTGCTAACGTAGTCAAATATTCCGTACTATAGAAGAAGATTCTATATAGATTCTGGTTGCAGGTTTCACTATGTGTCCTGAACTAGAACAACTCTGGTGGAACTAGAACAGTCGTCTGGGGAATGCAGCAGTTAGAGCTAAAAGATAAGAAAGCAACAAATTCTAGTGGAAATAGCATTTATAAGCTTTCTAAACTGTCTTTAGCACCTTAAGATTATGTATTATTCAAAGGTATCTTGTCTATTTAATTTGTCTCCAGGTTGCCTTAACACTTAGTTTTTAATACGTAGGCAAAATACTGTGTTTTTGAATTCATGGCACCTAAATATTTTTGTCCATTGTTTTTCCCTTTTTTATTTTCCTTGAGAGAGGAAGGAAAGGATTTATTTGTTAATCTGCAAGATCACTGTGTCTAAAACATAAGAAAGGATTCCTGTGATAAACAGTTCTGAAATAGTGTGGGTTTTTTTTTAAAAAAAAAGAGATTTAACAGAAATAATCACACGTTTGTGTGCAAGTTTGTGATAGTATTTTATCAGAGCATTTGTGTACTCAGCTTCCTGTTTTTGACAAGTCTATGACTTTCAAAGCAAATATGATTGATGGCCCAGGATGAACCAAATCCTTTGTGCCCATCACATTTGACAGGAGATGGATATTTTTTTACTCTTTTGCTTCTGCTGTAGCAGTAAAGCCCTTGTTGCTCTTTGCATCTCTTGCTGATTCTAAACCAAGATGAGCTTTGCCTTCCCAATGCCATTCTTGCATGCCTGAGAAGTGTTCTTATATTCATCTCAATCTATGACGATTCATTTTGGTTTTATGGTAGAGTTCAGACCGGAGCTCGCTGGTTGGCTGAGCTAGCCTTCTGCCAAGCCCGCTCAACTTCTGCGTATTGGGGAAGACCCTTCTAGAGCATTGAGGGGTTTGTCCTTATAAACCAATGGCCTCTTCTGGGCACCTTTTCACATCAGGACAGCTTCTTGCCTATCGTGAATAAACCAAAATCTGCTGTCCTGAAGCCCAGATGCCTCTTCTGCCACTTGCCTTTCTCACTTTCCGGCAGCATTTAAGCTCTGTCATTGGTGGACACTGCAGCCGAGGGTGCCATCAGCTATCACGTTCTCAAACATTTCTTTCCTGCCAGCGAGTAATGTGTCCTGCAGAAGACCTGTCCTAGTTGGGATGTCTGGCACCTCTGGAAAAAAATTGTCACCAGGTCACTCGCTCTGGATTGCTTGCTCCCCTCCATGTTTGTTTCTGCTTGAGCAGACGTCAGAACGTTTGAAGTCCCCTGTGAGAACCAAGCTCTGCAATCATGAGGTGACTTTGGATTGTTTGAATGAGGCTTCATCCACTGCCTGTTCCTGATCAAACAGCCCATAGTGGATATCCACCAAGACACTGTCTTTGGTCTTCTCTCTGATTTTGACTCATAGCTCTCAACTGTCTCCTTGCATGGTTCTTAGCAAGGCTCCATGTGCTCATGCTCCTTCCTTGCTTCCAGTGCAGACCCCTTTACCGTGTCCCATGTTTGCCTGCATGCTTCCTCCCAGGTTGGGGGAGTAGGCAACTGCATGCGTTGTCTTCAAATCCCGAACTATGATTCATTCACCTTGTGAATGCTGAGGCAACTGCTCACCGTTACCTCGTGTGGTGTTAATATCTCCTTTTGTCATGGTGCTCTGGAATACTTGGGTGGCAAGACAAATTGAGGGAAAGTTATGAAATAAGTCTTCCTAAAAAAGCTCACAGGCAGACAAGTGTCTGTCCATTCCTTCCCTCCTCTCATCTTTCTGCTAGTGCTGTATGTCTCTTCCGGTGCACGTCGAAGTGGTGCAGGGGGTAATGAGGCCCAAGGAAACTATTGTTGGAGCAGATGCTTCAGACTCCATTGTCCATTGAACGCTGGGAGCATAAGCCTGGGCTGAGAGGATCTAGGCCAGTCATATTTTTAGCTGCCTGTTATAAGATAAAAGCTAGCAGATCACATAAGGCTTGTTTACACTTCGCTCACTACTTTTCAGTGGGAATGGAGAGAGGGAAGTTAACAACCTGGGCACTTTCAATGAAATGAAATTTGGAACTAAAGGCGGTAGTTCACAAAATGATACAGACAGCACTGAGGATGTAGTGGCAGTGGAAGTAGTAGTGTTGATCCTCTGTATCTAATGGACTTAGAACTTTCGTTAGAGATTCAAATCCCCTTTCTCCTCAATTCAGTCCAGGAACCTGAATTTGTTTCTGACCTCTTAAATGTTTAAATGCTGTATGGACCTAATCTTCTAAATAAAAATGTTTGGATAAGAAAACAAATAATTTAAATAGATCTTACCACCTTTTTGCAATTCATTGTGTTTCTGGGATTGGAATTTCTAAAACTTACCTGGATTTACAAAAAATTTCAGTCATAGGCAATCTTTTGTTCCGTTGTTTAGCTTGTAGCTTGTCATGAGGTGCAATGTCATGTAACATAGTTGTACCTGTTCCTTTCTGCCTGGGATTTGTAAGATGAAATTTGTGAAGTACTTGTGGAATCAAAAATAAATATGAAAAACTGCTATCGTAGCTACCTGTGTATGTCATCCATAGCGTTCAGGTGCTGTTGAGTTTAGATCTCCCTGCTTATTAAAAAATAGTGGAAAGACACCTTTGCTTATACAGTTGCTTTGATCTGTTTATGTAGTAAAGACAGCAACTCATTGATTTATAAAGTAAAGTTTGCCATATCAAAACAAAATTTTTTCATATCCTGACCTCTTAGTAAGTATGAATGCTTAGTGTCTTTTGATGGACACTGACTTTTTGGATGGCAATAACTGCTTTTGTCACCAGAACAAAGGTTAAACTAGTGATAGAGTATCTTCTTCCGAAGTTCGAAAGTAGCAGGATGGAATTTGCAGTGTGTATTTAGATCTATACCGGCTTACTTTGGTGACTGCCGTGGTGCATTGGTGGTCACTGCAGTGGTGCATTGGTGGTCACAAAAGTGACTTTATCACCATGTCGTGATATGCGTGCATGTAATCAGTAGAACTGTTTACTGTGTTGTTTGCAAAATGTTCATTGTTTGTGCCAAAAAGAAGAATAGGCGTTTTAATTTACAGATAACAGGTGATTCCTTGAAGGCCATCAGTTCAGGACAGAACCACCAGATTTAATCTTCAGACATGGAAATTCATGAGACTGTTTTTGTGAAGTCAGTCTTGAGAGCATGGCTCTTCTAGTACCTGCATTCTGATGCTGATCTTTGGTTTTATTGCGTTGTCTTTTCAGGTATTTGGCAACTCCTCCAAAATATTAGCTTAGCATCTTTAAAGGAAAAACCTCTCTTGCCATTTATGTAAGGAGTTATGTCCATAAGGACATGTGCTTTTGGTATTGCCTTGGTAATTTGGCTTTTTTCTCACTGGAAGTCAACTATTTTAATGATACTATAATACAATTTTGTTTTTCTTATATAATGTCTTTTGGTCTTTGAAAGTGCTAGATGCTACTTAAAAAGAAACAAAAATCCTGCAAGAGTTTCTTGTCTGTAAAGCTCGCTCTCTTAAACACCTCAGTCCTGATCGTAGCAGTTGTGATTTCTTGCGATATCCAAATGTAAGACCCTGTAGGGCTACTGCCATGGGGCCATACGAAAGGATTCCACCCTCAAGACTATCTTGGGTAAAAGAGTAACTACAAAAAAAAAAGCTGTCCCTTGCTTGGAAAATTTGAACTAGTTACATAAACACATTTTTCCATCAGTTCTTCTAAAGTAAACTTCAACCTTTAAAAAAGCCAAAATGAAACAAACAAAAAAAAAGGAAACACCACAAACTATTAAGTAAAAGAACTCTTAGAACAGTAATGATATGAAATTTAAGTTGAATAAGCATTTGAAGAACCTGCTAGCTATTTTATTTGGGGTTTTACTGATTGTTTTCTTTCTTCCTATCCTCTTTGGGAAAGCTGTTTCATAGGATTGCAGAAAAATATATTTCATTATCAATATTGATGATATTGAGATTGGAAGCATGCATTAGCTTAGTTAGAGATCAAAGATATTGTTAGTAAAGGCTCACTGGGGTCAGGCAAGGATGTCTTTGGTTATAAATATCAACAGCATTTTGTTATTTGGGATTTATTTAATGTAACAGGAGTATTTATGACCCTTATGATTTCAAGGTCTTGTTTAACGTGTGCTGTACTTATTGGATATATACTGCAATTAGTAAAAACATATTTCTTGATACACTTTGACTTAAATGCTGTATAAAATTTGTGTTTTGAACCAACAACATACAGGAATTCTGTAAAGCATCCAGACTTTATACAAATGAGAAAGGGTCTGTAGGAAAGTAAGGGTAAAGTAACTTTTCAGCTATAGGAAGAAAGTGATGTATTTTTTTTCCATTCTTTTAACATGCAGAGGAAATGAAGTCCTAAGGGGAAAAGTGTCTGTCTTAGATCTCCAGATGAGGAATACCTTAATCCATGGCAAAAAGGTGCTGTTACAACCTGCTTCT